CTCCTGATTCAGACCAGACCACTTTTTCACTGGAGGAATCCTTTTTCTGGAGGATTATGAACTCGTATTTTAGTTAAAAACGTCTTAATGCTGGATTAGTTTCAGCTTTTGTCTTCTCCAGATGTTAACTGATGGACTGGAGTGCTGTGGATTATTGTGATGTTTTTATCAGCTGTTTGGACTCTCATTCTGACGGCACCCATTCACTGCAGAGCATCCATTGCTGAGACACTAATGCAATGCTACATTTCTCCAGATCTGAAGAAGAATCTGATGGCCTGAGGGTGTGCACATTTTCAGCATACTTTCATTTTTAGATGCACAATGACTTTCAACATGCGGTAGTTAAGCGAATGCCATGAAATTTAAAATAACTTGAATAAAAGCTCAATTTAATTCTCCAACAAAAACAACTCTAACTGTATCTGTCTGGTCTAAACCGCACAACAGCTGCTCTGAAATCACTGGAAGCCTCCTCTGGGAAAACTGGAAGCTTTCTGGATCCATCCGCCACCTGAATGTCCGTGGCCCTGGTGTAAAAATAGGCTGGTGCATTAAAACAGCTCAGCAGGTAAAGGAAAGAATGAAGCTTGTTTTTCTGCTGAAGGAGGCTGAACGTTCACTTCAGCTCTACATCTGACCGATGAATGTAGGTCATCAGGTAAAAACTAACAACCGGGATGCAGAACGCATGAATATAAGACAACAAAACGATCAAATGTGGATTTACCAAAAGTTCAATGCCAACATATTAACTTTATTACAGGGTTCTATTACAGGGTTCATTAAATAATATAATAACATAAGAAATCAACAATACTACTGAGCAGATAAATATTGCAATAAACATATATTAAACACAAAAACGTCAAATTATATAATTAATATTTAATTATAATTAATATAAAATATCTAATATTTATATATAACTTGTGCAATGTATATATTTATTTCTTATTTAAATTGTTATTTAACTATCATTTTTATTTTACATTAATTTTATATATAAAATGTATATTTATTTAATATGATGCATCACATCCTGCTGTTCACTGTAAATTAATCTGACTCATATTTTTACTTACAAAAACATCATAACTACACTTTAATGTAAAAGTAAAGTACATGCAATGTCTTAAATGAATATGATAAATAATTTTAATTTCTTAATTCCAAAAGCCATACAGTATTTTACAGTGAACTTAGATGTTAAATCCATTATAATTCATTTAATGGTCAGGTCATTTAACAGGAATTTACATTTTTACATTATTTTTCAATATTGCTACATTGTATATGACACCAAGGTAACACTACAGTATCTACAGTAGTTGTTAACAGATTATTATTAGTGCAACAAAAAGTGCAATAAATTAACATTCTAATTCTAAATATTAATAAGAAACATAAATATTCATAAATTTCCAGCCATTACTGAACAATACATTGCATAATACATTTTATTTGCTCGTATTTACATAATATTTTATATAAATACGTTATATTATGCAAAGTAAACCATGTATATTTTGCGTGAGCGTACGGTTGATATGTCTGTAAAAGGACATATCATATAGCAAATGGCTATATATATATAAACAGATGTTTAAAACTATTTTTTGGTTATGAAGGTTATGAAATGTGCCCAAGACCTACTAATAAAGATCAAGGAATGTTTATTATTGGAAAAGAACTGGAAAGTTCTCTGGATTTAAATCGAGATTTACCATGGACTGACAGGTCAACAGGTATATAAAACATAAATTAAAAATGCTTGAGGATATCTGTGACCCTGGAGCACAAAAGCAGTGTTAAGTCGCTGGGGTATATTTGTAGCAATAGCCAACAATACATTGTATGGGTCAAAATTATACATTTTTCGTTTATGCCAAAAATCATTAGGATATTAAGTAAAGATCATGTTCCTTGAAGATATTTTGTAAATGTCCCACCGTAAATATATCAAAACGTAATTTTTGATCAGTAATATGCATAGCTAAGAACTTCATTTGGACAACTTTAAAGATGATTTTCTCAATATTTAGATTTTTTATTTTAGTTGCACCCTCAGATTCCAGATTTTCAAATAGTTGTATCTCGGCCAAATATTGTCCTATCATAACAAACCATACATCAATGGAAAGATTATTTATTCAGCTGTCAGATGATCCATAAACCTCAATTTCAAAAAATGGACCCTTTTGACAGGTTTTGTGCTCCACATTTATTAGATGTCTACTAATAAGAATTTAAAGTGAAATTTTTTTTCATTAGCTCCTTTTAGGGGTGAAAGTTAAAGGGTTAAGAATTAACTAGGCCGAGATTATAATTATTTATTTTTTAAGACAGTTTTATTCTCCAGCACCGTTAAGCGCGGCTCTCACTCACCGTCCCGGAGGTCATTCCCGCGGCTGCAGTTACTGCAGATGTGCTTGATGTGACCGGAGATCACAAACGGCGTGTTGTTGTTACCGGGGGCGGTGGGCTGCCGCAGTTTGACCAGGTTAAAGGCTCTCCGTTTGCGCGGTTTCTCTGCGGACGACGACGACGAGAACGATGAGGAAGATGACGCGTCCTCCCGTAACCGGGATGTGATCCAGGTCCCGTGCGCTCCGGTGAATGCGGGACCCGCCATGGGCGCAGCGGCGGCGGCGGACCCGTGTCTATCTGTCACACCCCGGGATGGC